AAATGAATCGTTAAACGAATCGTTTGGGAGTCGTTGAGCAAATAAGGTAAAAATAAATGCATATTATAAGACAATGAAAGTGTTTTTTGGCCTTGCATGCATGTCAACCTGTTGTTGGGGACTCCCAAAACCAAAATATGAACCTTTCATAACCCATAATAGGGGCACTTTAAAATAGAAAACAGTTCTTTTAAAAATAGTAATATTTCACAATATTCAGAATACTGCTTACTTCATTTGTTATTAAATAAATGCAGCCTTGGTGTTTTCCCTTGTTCAGGATTTGCGGCAGATGTTCCCGGCTTGTGATTCTGCCCCCTGGATGAGGCGTTCTCAGCTGGATTACTTGTCACTTGACTTCAATTCGGCCTCCCCCTCACCTGTCCAGAAGGTCAGTGGTAGGCATGATCTGCTTAAGAACCAAATTTCTTACATGCATCTGACAAACATTTGGTGTTTGTTTGTAATGGAATCATTTGGTGAGTGTTTGTGGGGTTTTAGTGGGTACTGCTATCTCTTGTAGTAATCTTTCCTGTGGCTTTATAAAATGAATCTTCAGGCAGTGATAACAGTGACTCAGCATTTCCTGTCCCGGTTACTGTTGCTTTGTAATCCCTCAGCTCTAAACATGACTTGGCGTAAATCTGCCTGCTGGGTTGATACATTCGGCCATGTTGATTAGTGTTTTGATTGTTGGTATTGTGTTATTGATGTTTTCAGAAACCGCTGCTGGCAGACGAGTACACGGTCGATTACGTGCAGGTAGACGAGAAGAAGACACAGGCTTTACAAAGCACCAAGATGGAGTGGAAGGATGTCCGTCAGTCAAAAGCCTAAAGCCCTCTCATTTTAAATTATTACATGGTTCAAAACTTGACTTGTTTTCATCTCCTACAATTTCAGGAACATGTTGGGTTTTTTTTTTTACACTGCTGTGAAAAGAGCCAGTACAGAGCTGGACTGGAAACCTTCAGAAATAAAATGACAGATTATTCAGGAAATTATTCCAGGATAAAAGACCTCCAACACAATGATTCAAGAATAAAGCTTTGTTTTGTAGTTCTTATACCAGGAAGACAATTTCTTATGAATTTTTTAGAATATTGTTTTTTGGTTTATGAGTAAAGTAAAATAAGAGGTTGACCTCAATTTGATCTACAACATAGATTATACACAGTCATACCTCAAATGTGAATGATGTTTTTTAAAACGTTGCTAACTAAGTGATAATAAGTGAGTACTAAATCTACCAGAGGAATGCGAGTTAATGTGTATGATGAAGGTTCTCGTCCCAACTTGTGCTAACTTGTTAGCTACATAAACTACTTTTCAAAAGTTTGGTTGGTAAGATTTTTTAATAGTTTTGAAATAAAGCTCTTCTGCTCAACAAGGCTGCATTTGATCAAAAATACAGAGCAAAAAAATACAAATATTGTAAAATATTCTTCATTTAAATTTAAAGTAACTGTTTTCTATTTGAATGTATTTTCAAATATGTGACATGATCCCTTAGAAATCAGGATTTTCAAGATTCTTTGATGAATAGAACGTTTAAAAGAACAGCAATTTATTTGAAATAGAATCTTTTGTAACATTATACCTTTACTTTTGAGCAATTTCATATATCTTTGCTGAATAAAAGTATTAAATTCTTTAAAAAAAAAATCTTACTGACCCCAACCTTTTGAACCGTAGTGTATTTAGTTGAAAAACACGAAATTCTCTTCAAATAATGTTTACCACAGACATTAATTTACTGAACAACTCTATTAAAATTTGTTCTAAACCTGAATGGGTAATGAAATCCAAACAATGCAATGAATTTCATCTAAAAACATTTGTCACCAAAGCTTAAACGTGTACAGAATAAGAATTTGTTTACTTTTTATAACAGAAATTATTTATAAAATTAATATTCATTCTTGGTCATTTACTTAACTTGGAAAATGTACAGAGTGACTTTTTTGTTGCACTCCCTTGGGATGTTATTTTGAAATAATTCCCTGAATATAACAGCACACTCTTTTACATCGCTGATGTTTGAGACTCAGATGTCACATTGCCTGTTTGTGAGTTCTGAAATAATGTTGTCACGTAAAGGTGTCACAAAGTCTTTAAGTGGCTATTATGAATATGTTACATATTTATGACGTGTACAATCACTGAAGAGTGCAACAGAAAATGATTACACCACTGAATGTGTTTATTGCACTGGTTTAAAAACACCTTCGAGACCATGTTTATACTACAATATGTTTCATGAGAGTCAGACCACTGTAAACCACTAGAACCACACACTGTGATTGGATGCTGGAACAAAACAATGAAGGAATTGAAAGTTTTGTAGAAGGGAAATCTGCCTTTTCTTTGTTAGGATTGAATATTGAATGTTGAATATGTTAGACTACTGTCAAATTATTGACCTAACAGGGTTATGAAGGTCTGTCAACATTTATTGGAATGTATTTTTCCCATCGACCTTTCACGAATACGAGGCATTACGAATGTATTTCTGTCTTGGGTTGTAGAATTTTAGTGCCATGTCATGCTGTGCTTATGACACTCTTCTTTTATGGTGGTCAGATTTTGCTGTACTGACAAGAGCACAAAAATCTCATGGGAAACTATCACTGTGACATCAACAGTTTCCCGCCAATCCTGATATTCTTCAGTGTATGCTTTATGTCTCATGAAGAAATTTTATAGAAGAGTGAGAGAGAGAGAGAGCGAGTGAGTGAGAGAGAGAGAGAGAGAAGTGAGTGTGTGTTTTGCTGAAATTTAGAGACCTTAATAACCTGTGTGCATCAATGGATGTTTATCCGTCAGCAGGTAAATTATTGTGATGCATATTGAACACAATAAAATCACTTTAAAACTGTTAAGTTTTGTTTCTTGTTGTTCTTCTGATCAGACACCTTATCTCATTTTGTAACAGATGTAATACCTTTTTCAAAAAAAAAAAAAAAAAATCATTTTAAAACAATTCAGCTCAATAAACTGAAAACAAAACAAAAACCCTTAAAGACTTTTTTCTGTCGTTTTTAAAGTATAAAATATACATGTAAAACTTGTACCTACACTAAGATTGTTTTAAATGTTTTGAAAGATGTTTTCAAAAATATTAATTTGACTTTTTTAATTTATCAAAAATACAGTAAAAACAGTTCTATTGTAAAATATTATAATTCAAAACAACTGTTTTCTATTTGAATATATTTAAAAATGTAATTTATTCTTGTGAATTTTCTGCAGCCATTACTCCAGTCTTCAGTGTCACGTGGTCCTCCAAAAATCATTTTAATATGCTGATTTGGTGCTCAAAAACATTTCTTTTTATTCTTGATGTTGAAAACAGCTGTTTAATATTTTTGTAAAAACTTTAGCAGAAATCATTTGTAATATAAATGTCTTTACTGTCACTTTTGATCAATTTATTGTGTCCTTGGGGAATAAAAATATTAATTTCTTTAAAAAAAAAAGTCTTAATAGTGTATATCTGTAACAAACTTGAAACAGTTTAATACTAATGTTAAGTACCTGTGGTTTTATTTTTTTAATCATATAAACCTAGAGCATTACATACTCTTCTTTGGAACATAAGCTATTTACCGGTTACTTGTTAATTTGAATTACCCTCTATAAATGTTCAAAATGAAACCAGCATCACTGTGTTTATCAAAACAGATTAAATGAATAATAAAAAGAGACCAGAGGAAACATACTAATTTCAACTCTGTTTTCTCCATAATGAAGTTTATTATGAAATAATGATATAATGTTATTTCAATCAGATCACCGAATCAAACATATTAAACTGATATTTTCCTTTGTAACATAATAATAGTTTCATGTGGCACTTAGTACACATGTGTGACGTATTTCTTCCATACTGTCCTCTTACATTTTTATGCCCTAAAAGGGTCTTTAACACTCCAGCAGAAGCTCTAAAATATAGAAAGAGGATCAAGATGGAAAAAAAAGAAAATCACACTTTAATAGAATAAATAATGTTTTATAGCAATACTTTAAATATTGTGATTGGACTAAATACTATCCTTTGAAAGTTATCAGACAAAAAACGCGAAATATACCATGAATTAATTTTTGCACAAGTCCCTTTAATTTGGGAAAAAATAAAAAAATATATATATATACTGTATATATAGAGAGCGAGAACCAAAACCAACCAAAAAATAAAAAAATAAAAAAACTGAAACGCTATGTCATGCTAATCCTAGCAGCGATAACCAAATTTCACTGACTTAATTTTCGCCTGAGAAGTCACATGGCGGGGTACCAGCTCAAGGGGTTGGCATTTGCACATGTCAATGCACCTGTTTTTGCCAACCAGACTATTTTGGCATGTTAGAGATGAATTGGCACGTCATTATGAAGTTGATCAGCAGGATTAAAGTTGCCTTGGTCCAAGTATCATTCCTCATAAAATGAAGGCAGGGCTCAGAGGTGGCATTATTACTTTTTTTTTTAGGTTTTCCGGTCTTCTGTCAGATTGCACTTATGACGGGAGAGAGGAAACAATGGTGAAACCAAGACCGAGACCTCAGGAGAAACAAGGCTCTGACGTAAACACGCTACAGAGGTCCACTGTTCAGAGCAAAACAGTTCCTCCTTCAGGTTTCTCTGGTCTGTAGTTTAATCAAGGTATCTAAAGGCTCCAACAAACCAAAATGACTTTTAACTCGATTGATTGAAGGTTTCTCTGAATGTCAAAGTTGTTCCAATATCCGTATTTCCAGTAGACCGTGACCAGTGTAAGCAACTTGCGCGACAAATTTGCAGACCGTGATCCACTGTTCTTTGAGACCCGTACGAATAGAATTACACAAATAAAAATACCTGCAATGAACTGAATCTCATGCAAAACAAACTAAAGAGTGCAGCAGGTTCCATCCAAGGAGAAATTGTCCAGGAAAAAAAAAAATCTTCAGCTTTGACCAGACTTGAAACTGTTGGAAAAACACGTGATAATGTGGAGTATGAGATCGAGAGAGAAAAAGAGAGATTGGGTGAGAGACAATGCCCCGAATAGTCACAGTGCACGGAGGAACACCAGGGCGGCGCTAGAGAGCAAGAGTCATTACCGTGGTTTAGTGCTTCAAACGGTGAAAATTCGCTATCTGTCGATTTGTATAGAGAAGAAGAAACCATAAGAGATTTTCCATATTTCATCATTTAAAACCTCTCTAAAAAGAGAGTGCCGAGGAATAAAATGTATGTTTTGCGTGTGCGTTTGCGTGATTTTTTCGGTGAATTACATGTCGTGTGCAGTATTCAGTGCAGCCAGCCCAGCAAGGTGTCCCCATAACCCCAGTAAAAGTAATACGCCTGGTAAACTCCAGTAAAGTGAGGTCCGTCCTCTCTCCGGTAGTTTGTGTGTGTGTCGGTCCTCCTCAAGTCCCGCAGGTGTATCTTACGTAGAATAGTGCTTTTCCAAGTATACAGAGGCTGGTGTATCCGACCCCTGGTGGATGTGTGTTCTATTTTTTAAAGGGAGCTAACCGACTGAAGTTCTGCCAGAAGGGAGATGTGCTGCGTTTGGGCTCGTATTCATATCCGTCCGCCTGCCCGTAGCCGTCAGGGAGGAGGTACTTCCCGGGGTTCATGGGGTCCAAAGGAGGTGGGTGCGCTGGGGGGCCTGACCGGCCCACACCTGAGAAGACAGACACACAGGAATACACAACGATTAATGCCTAAACTCAGTTTTACTGTTTAACATCGCTTATTACTAGATTTCTTTGATATTTGTGTAGCTTTATGCTGTATGTAACATCCACAAGTACTATTTATTGCAAGGCAAAACAATTCCAATTTGTATCAATTTACTTCTATTTTCTCAGCAGGCACTTTTTCACCATGGTAACAGCAATACAACAGAACACAGTATAATTTATTGGCCATTAGAATGGGAATTATCTTATGCAAAAATATTTTTCTGCCTAAAGCAGCCGTCATAAACCAAGATGAGACACAACAACCTCTAAGAACATCTAAATTCCATGAGGAACATTTTTCAAGAACAGGCTTCAAGATTTCATACCTTTCTGTTTGGTGACTCTCCTAACGGTCAAGGCGGCTTGTTTCTTCTGATATACAGAGATTTCAAACCCTAAAGGGACAAAAAAGACAATATTCGGCGTAAACGTTTGATAGCTTTGTGTGAAGAACAGAACATAGTTTAAATCACTGTAAGACTGGTGACTATGAACTTGCCTGATCATTGTATCGTGAAGACTGGACTAAATATTCTTCAAAATACACCTTTTGTGTTCAATTTAACAGTTCAACTTTGAAACAACATGAGGATGCATAATAACTAAACTTTCAATTGTTTGTGATGTAAAAATTCTCACCAATCTTCTCATCTTCCTGGACCATCTTTCTTTCCTCTTGAAACGCCCGAAGCCAACGGATTTTCTCCTCCAGCTTTTTGGGCAGGAACAGATGGATCTCGTCTGTGTCTCTGTTGGCCAGTTTGAAGGCGTTTTTCACGCTAACGTTAAAATCATCATCTCGGCCATCGACTGCGTCAATGACCTCATATCGATCCATGTCAATCCGACCCTTATAGTAGAGAATATCACGGCGAATGAGATCCTGTGGAAGGCGGAGAGACTTTATGAGTACGTCTGTAATCCAGACAGATTACTGATAGAATGATACGATTGATTGATTATTCTGTTCCAGCATGAAAAATCTAATACATCATTCTCATCTTCCACCTCCTTTCCTTTCCACACACATCAAGGTACTTGTTACACCAGGAGGTTGTATTCAATGTGACAGCAAGTGTGACTGGCCATGATAAAAAGATATGTGACATAAAGTGATGGTAAAGACATTTATAATTACAATTACAAAAGATAACATTGAAATAGCATTCAAATAAATGCTGTTCTTTTGAACTTTGTATTTATCAAAGAACCCTGAAAAAGATGTGTCGTGGTTTGGTTCAGCTTTGCCATCACAGGAATAAATTACATTTTAAAATATATCACAATCAAAAAAGTTATTTAATATTGTAATAACTATTTACAATATTACGGTTTTCACTGTATTTCTGATTAAATAAATGCAGCCTTAAGCATAAGAGACTGAAAAAATCTTACTTACCCCAAATTTTTTATTTTTGTATATAATAAAAATATTTTCGAATAAAATATTGCAATTGTATATTTCTTTCTATAAGTTTAAATATACAGGTGCATCTCAATAAATTAGAATGTCGTGGAAAAATTCATTTATTTCAGTAATTCAACTCAAATTGTGAAACTCGTGTATTAAATAAATTCAGTGCACACAGACTGAAGTAGTTTAAGTCTTTGGTTCTTTTAATTGTGATGATTTTGGCTCACATTTAACAAAAACCCACCAACAAATTAGAATATGGTGACATGACAATCAGCTAATCAACTCAAAACACCCGCAAAGGTTTCCTGAGCCTTCAAAATGGTCTCTCAGTTTGATTCACTAGGCTACACAATCATGGGGAAGACTCCTGATCTGACAGTTGTCCAGAATACAATCATTGACACCCTTCACAAGGAGGGTAAGCCACAAACATTCATTGCCAAAGAAGCTGGCTGTTCACAGAGTGCTGTATCCAAGCATGTTAACAGAAAACAAAATCTATTCAAGAATTTGAGTGAACTTCACAAGAAATGGACTGAGGCTGGGGTCAAGGCATCAAGAGCCACCACACACAGACGTGTCAAGGAATTTGGCTACAGTTGTCGTATTCCTCTTGTTAAGCCACTCCTGAACCACAAACAACGTCAGAGGCGTCTTACCTGGGCTAAGGAGAAGAAGAACTGGACTGTTGCCCAGTGGTCCAAAGTCCTCTTTTCAGATGAGAGCAAGTTTTGTATTTCATTTGGAAACCAAGGTCCTAGAGTCTGGAGGAAGGGTGGAGAAGCTCATAGCCCAAGTTGCTTGAAGTCCAGTGTTAAGTTTCCACAGTCTGTGATGATTTGGGGTGCAATGTCATCTGCTGGTGTTGGTCCATTGTGTTTTTTGAAAACCAACGTCACTGCACCCGTTTACCAAGAAATTTTGGAGCACTTCATGCTTCCTTCTGCTGACCAGCTTTTTGAAAATGCTGATTTCATTTTCCAGCAGGATTTGGCACCTGCCCACACTGCCAAAAGCACCAAAAGTTGGTTAAATGACCATGGTGTTGGTGTGCTTGACTGGCCAGCAAACTCACCAGACCTGAACCCCATAGAGAATCTATGGGGTATTGTCAAGAGGAAAATGAGAAACAAGAGACCAAAAAATGTAGATGAGCTGAAGGCCACTGTCAAAGAAACCTGGGCTTCCATACCACCTCAGTAGTGCCACAAACTGATCACCTCCATGCCACGCCGAATTGGGGCAGTAATTAAAGCAAAAGGAGCCCCTGCCAAGTATTGAGTACATGTACAGTAAATTAACATACTTTCCAGAAGGCCAACAATTCACTAAAAAATTTTTTTTTATTGGTCTTATGGAGTATTCTAATTTGTTGAGATAGTGAGTTGGTGGGTTTTTGTTAAATGTGAGCCAAAATCATCACAATTAAAAGAACCAAAGACTTAAACTACTTCAGTCTGTGTGCACTGAATTTATTTAATACACAAGTTTCACAATTTGAGTTGAATTACTGAAATAAATGAACTTTTCCACGACATTCTAATTTATTGAGATGCACCTGTATGTCCGTTTATACATATATACATACAATATGGGAAAAGATATGTGTTACCTATTTTTTTGAGATTATAGTGATTTAGTGAAGACTATTTACTCATAGTGAAGACTCCAGTCTGTTTAGCGTGTTCATTAAAATACTTTTGAAACAATTAATAACTGGATACAAATTGAAAGACTGCTTGCTGGTTATGGAAATACTGTGTTGATTTGACTGATTAGCTGATAAAGAGCTGGTCTGGGTAATATCATATCAGTCTTGTAAGAAACTGATGTGAAAAGTGCTGATTGTCTCTGTTTTTGTGTTGCTGAATTGCCTGTGTATCTCAGAGTTTGCTGAAGAGAGCTGTTTTTGCACCTTTTTGGAGCGAGTAAAAATGGGCCATGTGCTTTGAGCTTGAGGGTGTTTGGAGGACACTTAAAACACAAAAGGCTTCTACATGGTTCATACACATTTTTACCAATGAATTTCCATGACTTTTCCATGACATTTGAGACAATATTCATGACCCAATGATCCATTATTTTACAAGTATACATGTAAGATAAGAATAAAAATCTCTGTTCAAATTTATCATAGCATTGTTAACTAAAATTAATGACTATTAATGCTACTTGTTTGCTTTCTATTTGTTTTAATAATAAGTACAAGCTGCGACTCTGCCAGACGTTACTCCACGCAGAGAACGTATCACATCACTGAATATTGTCATTTGTTTAACAAATATTATCAATTAAACTCAGGACCTGAATTTAATTTTGAAAATTGTTTAGGTCTAACAGTAGTAGGCTATACAGGTACAGTAATACAATAATAAATAATAATAAAATTAATTACAAAAGTGATTCAGTCAAGAGCGGTGAGTGATTGTCTCTTTGTCTTTTGTTGTTTGATTAACATTAATCACAGACAGCACAGCTTTATTAGGCTGCTGTCACAAGACCGAACACACGGATCCTAATATACTGATACACATGCGTTTTCTATCCCTCGGTTGTGCTACACTACCATTATTTAATCAGTTATTTGCTTCTGCATGTCTGTCTGGTTCGGTTCTGCATCTTTGCTCTCAAAAGTGAAAGTTCCAGATGTGCAATGTGCTGAGAACATCATCAGCTGCCTGCTTCCTTCCTTCAAAGATCCCTACTAGGAAAAAAACATGTATGCATGTATCTGTATATCTATCTATTTATCTGCATCACTTAATTTTTCACGTTCTCTACACTTCATTTCCATACCCATGTGTCCCAATTAAAGCGGACTCAAAAAATGAACTTACAATGTCATTATTTCCTTCATCCCCTCTTTCTCCTCTCTTCATTTTCTCACCTTCTTACAGAGGACCATCTGATGATCGAATAGGAAGAAGATTCTGGTTTGGCTGCGCCCATATGGTTGATATATCCAGGACATCTCCCCAGTGTACACAAGCTCTGAGCTCCTGTCCAGAATATCCTCACCCTGCACACACACACACACACACACAAACAAATGAATCATTACATCTGACACCACTGAGGCTCTGATGTGTTTATGTCTCAATATGCAGCTCTGTCTGTATGGTGTCTGTGGTGCAGGTTGCATGTCAGTAACATGCATCTTTTATTTGAATTTTTTTAGATCAAGTCTCCTTTTGAAAAAGGAGATATTAAATACAATAATAATTTTAATGTTTCTTTATGCTCACCAGGGCAGCATTTATCTGATCTACAGTAAAACAGTAATATTGTGAAATTATTATTACAATTTCTATATATATTTGTAATATGTCATTTTCAATTTAATATGTCATTTTCAGCAGCCAATATTCTAGTCTTCAGTGCCACATGATCTTTCAGAAATCATTCTAATATGCTGATTTGGTGCTCATGAAACATTTAGTATTATTATCATCAATGTTGAAAACAGTTTTTGCCGCTTAATATTTTAGTGGAAACCGAAAGTTTGGGGTAAGTATGATTTTTAAAAATAATAATAATAATAATAATAATTAATACTTTTATTCGGCAAGGATGCATTAAATTGTTCAAAAGTGATAGTAAAGACATTTATAATGTTATAAAAGATTTCCATTTCAAAATAAATGCTGTTCTTTTGAACTTTTATTCATCAAAGAATCTGAGAAAGAATCCTTTCCACAAAAATATTACACAGCAAAAACTTGTTAATAATAAGAACTATTATTAACACTTGAGCACCAACAATAACTTCTTTCTTTTTTTAAGAGACTTCTTTCAAAAACATAAAAAACGTAATTATACCAAACTTTTGGCCAGTAGGGTACATGTATACACACAGTTGCGCTGCTTATTTATTAATTTACTATTATTACATATATATATTTTTTCAGGTTCAACTATTCCATCGCTCTCCTTTTTATCCTATTAATTAAATTTGTCTGAAAAGCTTTGGCCACACACCTCCCAGTCCAGTACAGAGGCCTGCCATTGGGCGATTTTGTCAATGTTCTCAAGCCTTCGTTTGCGTTCGTTGATTTGCTGAGTGACATTTCTCATTACAGCTAGCGCAGCAGCCACATACCGATAATCACTGGGAGAGAAAGGGAAAAGAATGAGCGAAAGAGAAGAGCGAAAACGAGGGATGTCAAAATGATAAGTGGAAACCAGATATGTCAGTTCAAAATTTGTCGTTTACACAGTCATATATTTTGTGGACCTGACCGCCATTATCTGCACGATGCACCTGGAGTTCGCACATCTGTGTTTGTGTGTGTACCTGTGTTCTTGTACTGTGTATTTCAGTAACTCTGCCAGCTGTAGAGGGTATTTGCAGATTTTCTGGACTGGTGTGAGCAGGTAGCCATCAATGGCGATGTCGATCATCTGCTGAACCAATCGGCAAGCTTCGAAGAAGTGCTGGTATCGCGCGTCTCGCATGAGACGTGTGAGCTCCATGCAGGCATCAACGTGGTTGTTACAGTATTCCGAGTAGATCCAGAATCCATCTTGCTGTAAAAAAAAAAAAAAAAAACATACAAACATAAAAAATTCTGTATCCTCGACTCATTGTGTATATATGTGTGATTTTCTGTATTTCAATACAGACGTGTTCCAAAAAGCAAGGTCCGATCTCGCTGAGATGAGGTTCTTCCGTGTTAAACTGTTTCTCCAGGTCTCTGACGAAGCTCAACTGGAATCTGTAAATATCTTCGATATTTCCAAAGATCACTTTCAGCTGATCGTCGTTAAACATGTCTCTTCTCTTTTTACACTGACGGAGATACCCCTAAAACACAAACACAGATTGACACTACCATTCAAAAGTTTGGGTTTTTTAGATTTATATCATGTTTTTGAAATACGTCTCTTATGCTCACCAAGGCTGCATGTACTAACTGTTTTTATTTATATACATTTTGATATGGCAAAGCTGAATTTTCAGCAGTCAGACTCATTACTCCAGTTTTCAGTATCACATGATCCTTCAGAAATCATTCTAATATGCTGATTTGCTGCTCAAGAATAATTTGTTATTATTATTTGCTGTTATTACCGAAAACAGTTGTGCTGCTTTGATGTTTTAAGGATTCTTTGATGAATACAAAGTTCAAAAGAACTTAAAATAGATTTTTTAAATCTCTTTACAGTCACCTTTGATCAATTTAATGCATCCTTTCTGAATAAAAGTATTCGATTCTTTCAAAAAAACATTTACTGACACCAAACTTTTTTTAAACAAGTTTTTAAAAAAGTTTTAAACATTTCATGGACATACAATTTCTCCTAGACAGGAAATTAAATTTAGAGCAAATGGAGACTTTGCATATCACAGAAAAGAGCGTAGTAATCTCACATGTGTCTTATCTGGAGTTCCCTATGAGATTTCAGCAATGTCACATAATATGCTCACATTTAGCAAGATAACAAGGCAACAATTAAAAGATTTCAATATAAATTCAAACATGTCTCATCAGATTTTGACAAGAACAAATGATCTGAGCTATGCTATTCACATAAACTTTATAGTTGTATACTTTTACTGTGTTAACAGTTGTCTCAGTTGTGTTTATGTATATTTCTTCTCTGGAATATTAGGAGAACTCAATCAGGTCTCCTGAGCTTTGAAAGGGCTGGTATGCGTTTTTTTACCTCACAGATGTCCTTCAGGTGTTTGATGTAATGTCGTTCTGTGCTCATGATCTCATTGATGACATTGGCCCTCATCTGGTCCCGGTTCTGAGTGGGCTGGCCCAGACACAAGCAGTCGGTGCTGGGGTTCGGACTGGCCTCTGCATGGCCATTCTGCACCTCGCTGGAGCTTTCGGCAACCTCGACTACGCTGTTTTCCTCCTGATTTACCCATAACTAGAACACACACATTAAGACAGACATGACTTGATCTTCAAGCCCTGTTATTATCAATTAAAGTAATCACAATAATTGTGCTCACATTCGATTAGCATCCGGCTCAGAGCATCCAGAGTTAACGGCCTGCGTGCTTGCTTTCATAAAAGGTCTAGATAGGGCTTTTAAAGCTTCAGGGTTAAAGTTACATTGATGTGAAATAAAAAAAATTAAAAAAGAGTCAAAGTGTGCCCTCTGGTGGCACCAGTCCCAACTGCATTTTACCACATTGGAGGCATTGCAGTAAACACTTACAAAATCTGTTTTCACAAGAACTTAAATGAATCTGCATTTGGGCCTGTTACACAGCTGCCAAGATACACACACATAAGCCAGGAGAAGGGAAGAGAAGGAGGGAGATACAGATGCGCACAGTTAGGAACACAGTATATATGTGTGTGTGTGTGTGTGTGTGTGTGTGTGTGTTTAGTTAAAAGAATCTGATGTGATTTTATTTGCCCTGATTATGTAACCTATCATTTGCTTTCCCAAGTGAGTCAACTGATGTGAACACACATGCACAAACTCTCTTTCTCACACGCGCACAATAAAAACCCATGAATATGCACACATTTTGTATACTGAGCTAGTTATATTTATATACTCTACTCCCAAAACTATCACAGAAAACTTTTTAGATTTTAAAGGTGCATCAAAGGTGTACCTTAAAAGAACAGTTGGCACAAAAATTATAATTCTGTTACTCTGTCACTCATATAATTTATCCTTATGTTGGTCCAAACCTGTATAACTTACTTTCTTCTGTGAAATATGAAAGAAAATATCTTGAAGAATATTTTGATTACCACTGACTTCCATTGTATGGATAAAAAAAGCACTTGACAAAATATCTTCTTTTGTGTTCTGTAAACAAAAGAATTCATACAGGTTTGGAACAACTTGAGTAAATGATGACAGGATTTAAATTTTTGGGTGAACTTGTCCCTTTAAGAAAAGAATAATACTTTTGAAAAATATGTAAAATCATGTACTCTTACATGAGATGAAGACTCATATTACTAGCCTTATGAAACCAACATAAACTAAAATAACTGCAAACTGGCCCTTTAAAACATTATTTTAGACCCTTTATTCAAAGGAAAAGTCACACAAAAATGAAACTTCTGCCCTTTTTTACTCACTTTCATGTTGTTACAAACCTGTATGACTTTCTTGCTTTTGTGGTTTTGAAGCATTGGTCGCTCTTTTCCTTGAATTTACAATGAATGGGGACTTGATCATTTAAGCTTCAAAAATCACAAAAGTATCATAAAATTAGCATATGACTTTGATACAAGTTTTCTGAAGTCATACAATAGCTTATGTGACAAACAGACTGACATTTATGGTATTACTCACTGGTAATCTTTCTCTCAAGTGAGCTGTTAACCACTGTGACTAAATCATTGAACCAGATCAATACTATTTGTGAATGAATAATTCAGACCTATTTTGTGAACTGGATCAACCGATTCAACTCAGAAAAAAGATCTGCATATTGCTATTGAAGGGTTTTCCACCAATGTTATGGGGGGGAGGGGGACAGCATACATGTATGAAATGGCATGAGAATGAGTTTATAATGACAGAATTTTCATTTTGGGTGAACTGTCCCTTTAAGCCGTATTCTTCATGGAAACTGTTGGCTGGTCCCCACAGTGTAGGTGATTTCAGGTTTTGTTATCCTTGTAGGGACATTGAGATAGTACAGAGATAGTACAAAATCTGACCCACACATACACACACACAAATCCTGCTGACCTGATCTGGAGTCACAAATACTGGGAAAAAAAAAGGACAATATTAAAAATAGATTTTCATAAATACACAAGCCTGTCACAGATTCTATTCACCCTGAAACCCTGTCCTGCATAACTCCCTCGCCCTCTCTCTCTCTTTTTGTCTCACACACTCTGTTTCTACAAAGAGTCATGGATATGATGTCTAATCTCTTGAAGGATGTTTCTCAGATTAAGATCTCATTAAAATCTCAAATTATACTTGTATACCTAGAAATCTCTGCCTCAGCGCAACTTTCCAGTGCATTACCCTTGCTAGCTGTCCGTCCTCATCCTCATCAAACGAAAGGCTTAGTTTAGTGATCCTGCTGCCTGGCTACACAACGTGTGTTGCTACGGTTGTCTGTTTCAAGAAATAGAGGAATCAGAAGAACACTGATGATGCAGATGTTGCACACACACACACCTGCGCACACATACACACACATGCCAACTTCAATCTTCTCTTTCCTTCCTCTCAGTGTCCAGTCTATTTTAGCCTCTCTCTCTCTCTCAACATCTCCTCCCAGAGCAATCTGGGTTTTTTTTTTTGTCTGTTCATCTCTCCTGTCCTCTAATGAAAAGTGACGTCTCATTTTATGCTTCATGACTCAACCTCGCTGAACAGTGAAGAGAAACACAAGACACAGCAGAACAGAGGATACAGTGTAAAGGTGTCAGCATCTTACAACAAAGACAAAAAAACGAATCCTTGTAAGTGACATTAATACAACATTTATCAATCTCTTTTAGTTGGGTACTTAGAATGATTATATTCACTCTCAGATGTGTCATTAAAAGATCTGAGCTAAGTTCACAATTAGCAACTGTTCAAACTACAAACTACAATTCATTTGTTTGTAAACAGGATTCATTTGTGAAGTACCACAAACTAAAATTCAATTCTTTGGTTTTAGTTTGCTGCGCTGCTACTACATATGCAGTGCCATTCCTAAATAAAATCACACTGTACAGCAATTTTACCCAAGTTGCGAGTTAGCAATCTGAATTTGATGAGACAAAAAGACAAACACAAAGCATGACCAGTGTAATCTGATTCACAAACGCACACACTGCAAAATGCAAAAGAAATCAGTCAAAAAGACTTATGAGTAACTTGTGAGTTTTTGGTTTGAGTCACTCTAATGAACTTAAAGGGCACATCTAGAGGTAATTAATGTTTGTTTTCTAATTATTATTATTATTTAGATTAAAATTTATTTTATGTTTTTTATTTTTAAAATGAAGTGATTTTAAAATATTCTAGATATTAACGTGAAGCTTTGATGGTCAAGAAATTCACATGGAACATGGAACAATAAATGTGTAAAAATGTGTGACAAAATTCTTACACTGCCATTTGGATAATGAAATATTTAAATATTTTTTGACACAGCAAAAACATATCTAACGTAAATCTACTTTTTATAATTATTTCAAGTTATTATTTATATTTATTTATAATAATTATTAATAAATATAAATTATGATTATAATTATTACTTACATTATTATTTATTTTTTTAATGATTTCATTTTAAAATATTCTAGATATTTACATCAAGCTTTTCTGGGCCAGAAATCCATACAGAACTTTAATAAATGTCTAAAAATGTGTATTAAATGCATACATTTCCATTTTGATTGCAATGACGTACTCAAATATATTTAAATATTTGAATGTTGTCTTGTTAAACTCCAGATTAAAGGTGAAGTGTGTGGCTTTTGTGCTACTAGCGGCGCCAAACAGAATTAGAAACATATCAATTAAACAACAAATATGTAGTCCTGCCAACAATTCAAGTTTACATGTCAGACTGTTCAAAAAAACAAGTGCCACATCTGACTGCAAATAGTCATGGTTTCAAGAATTGCATTTGCAAAGTAATAAAATGCATACCTCACATTTAAGCTGTGCTTGTCTTTATATACTGTATGTAATGTTTCATTATTAAAATGCTATTAGCTCCACTGTATGCTGCTGATTCTCGTATGTGGGCACAGTTTGTGTTGTGCGTGTGGACTGTGAGTAAACAGTGAGCAATGATTTCTGATGACACGAGAGCTCCAGGTCTCAGTGGGAGAGAGACGCCAAACCTGCAGGCCAGCACCACCAACTGGTGTGACATAATGCTTTCAGACTCTACCGCATCCATCTCTCTCACACCCATTCTCTTCCTGTCTGTTTCTCCTTGTCCTTTCTCAGTGTTGCATAAGAGATGCCCAAAGGGTCAAAATAAAGGCCGTGCTGTACAGACTGATATAGTGTGTGTGTGTGTGTGTGTGTGTATTAAATTTGTATCTGTCTGTGTGGACACAGGTGATATTCGCCAAGAGATTTTCTCACACCTGTCATGCCCGAGAGAGTGGCTTACACAACCTGCCATCTGCGTGAGTGTGTGTTTGGGGAGGAAGGGGGGATAGATGACTGTTAAGAGAAGATAGGAAAGAGAAAGATAGGAAGAAAGCAAAAAGGGGAACTGAGAAATGCACTTAGGAAGCTCGACGTATGTAGCCAAAGTTAAGACCAAGTTACATAAAAGTCCCATTAAAGAGCGCTCCACCTTTACAAACACACTCCTCTTTCATAAGCACATCTCTATCCTATACTTCTTTTTATCCCTTCACCCATGATCCCCATTAAAAGGGTTTATGTTCATATTTCAGTGCTAAGCTTGGGATTTCTCAGAGAAAGCAAACAGATGGATCTCACAAGCTCTGTCTAAGCTTTTGGCCACAACTGCAGTGGACTTGCAATCCAGATGCATCATTAACAATATGATAGCATTATTTAACACTCTATTACATGCATTATGAAAGAAATGTAAAAAAAAAAAAAACTAACTTGCATAAAATTGCATTAAAATTCTTATTTCTAAAATCCAAAACACAATATTTTGGGGGTCCTTTTCAGGTATATTGCCTGGAGGCAACACTGTCACAATGAAAAGAAATTGGTTGATCTCACAATATTAAATAAAATAAATAAATAAATAAATAAAAATACACCATACAACATATATAAAATCTAATACAATTAGCTTCTAAGTTCCTAAGGCTTCTAAAAATGTATTTAAATTGTATTATATAAAATGTATAAATATTAAATTGAAATAAATAAATGTAAATATATTTAACAAATATTCGTAATTATCCATTTACACTGCAGTTTGGAAGAGTTTGGAGTCAGTACAATTTATTATGTTTTCCCAGAAGTGTCTTATGGTCACTAAGGCTGCATTAATTCGACCAAAAAACAGTAACATTATTAACATTTAAAATAATTGTTTACTATTTTAATGTATTTTAAAATGTAATTAATCCTGCGATGGCAAAGCTTAATTTTCACCAGTCATTACTCCGGTCTCCAGTGTCACATGATCTTTCAGAAATCATTCTAATATGCTGATTTGGTGTTCAAAAAACATTTCTTATTTTTATCAATGTTGATATTTTTGTGGAAACCACAATACTTTTTTTTTTTTAGAATTATTTGATGAATACTGTCTTTAATGTCACTTCTTATCAATTTAATGAATTCTTGCTGAATAGAAGTATCAATTTCTTTCCAAAAAAAACAACAACTTTTGAATGGTAGTGTATACAATCAAAATATGTAATAATTTGTAATTATTACATATATAATATGTAATACATATATAAATTGCAATTATTACATATATAATATAATATGCACAGTCATTTGCCGCATGCACACCTTTATTATTTCAGTTTTACTGTGCAGCATGTTCATAATGCCTCCTTTATAAAACGGATAGTGCCGGTCCTTGATTCTGATTGGTTGAGCCGCGTTCTAAGCTGTTGTAAATGGACCCTTTTCACAAGACTGTGATGACGCGTTTAATGGTCATCAGCATCATAAATCCTCGAAAGTTTTCATATTTGTGTTTTTTTTTTTTAAATGTATGTACATTTATAACACTATTCTTTGTATTATATCACCTTTGCATCAAATTAGAAAAAAACTAGTTTACGCTAATGCGCGGGTGTTTCTAATGCCGAGTCTATGGGAGGGACGGTAAATTTGACATCGTTCTCTCTTCTGACTGCCGTTATCAGTCTCTCTGTTTTTTCCTTTTTATTGAAAATCAGGAAAACACTATCGTGGAGTTTTTCTATTGCTATTTGAGCAAATGGGAATGCAAAAAATATATTTGTGGTACTCTCCCATTCACTGCTCTTCAAGTTAACCCAACTATGACGACTTCCACTGCTGAGAAACCCGGAAATGTGAAAAAGGTACATTACTCTACAAACATACACCTTTGTTTACTTTGTGCGTTGCTTGGCAACCACTTTGTTGCAACCACAACTGTTTCTGAGGAACTACATTGTTTGGTGGAAGAATACTGTTTTTATTAATATCATTACACTTTATTTGCTCTGTTTTGTGAAACCTAACAACGTATATAAGCGAGATCCCAATTCGTTGGTCATCCGACGTGACGTCTCCGTTCACTCCTTCAGGGAACGATGGTTACCATACGTAACCGAGACGTTTTATAAAAGCAATAAGCCCCGTGAAGCCTTGGTTTACAGTGAATTTATAACAATTAAGGGGGTTTTAGGCACTCCGCTTCGCGTCTACAACGCCCCTTAGCTGTTATAAATTCACTGTAAACCACGGCTTCTTGGGGTTTATTACTTTATTTTACTCATGATATTAGATCTGGGTTTTATATTATCACTGATAAACTAACACTCAAAATACAACAGACATTTCTTAGGTTTATATTATATACAAGAGTTTGGAGAGGTTCACGCATAAAACTGGCTCACTATGGAGAGAGAAAAAATAGAGTTGGAGGAAGTGTTTGAAATGGGACCCCACTGAGACCCTTGACACAATTTGAGGACTGATTTAGAGGTGGAAGAGAGATACAAGAAGAATCACTGGAGGGACTGATGAAATTGTTGTTGTTACTGAGGGTTTATGTTTAAACTTCTGTTTGAAAATATATTTTTGAGTTTTCTTTCTCTGTAGCTCTCTTTATATATATAAATGTGATTAAAAATAGATTTTAGCAGTCAGAGAGGCTCAAATTAAGACCAACATCTGTTCAAGTCACAGTAAAAAAAACAAAAAAAACAAGATGTCACCAAATACTGTCAGAAAAGAGGGAAATATTGGTAGTAGTCATCGTTAAATGTCATAATTGAGTCAGCATTACATTAACAAAATCTTTTTCCTATTTCAGTATTTTCTGACAGACCCAGACTGTCACCGGCATGAAGATAAGTTGCCATGGAAGCGAAGCGCAGCGACTGTGGCCGAAACGAAACGTTGGAACACAGCGACAGCATGTGAGCAGTAAGCGATGGGATGCATTCAACGGTCAAACGGTAAGCAGTGGTTTTGAAAAAAAAAAACGCACCTTAGCCGTGGTGTTTGTGAAGCGTGATGCAGCGACAGGGTTGATATAAAAAAGCTGTTTGGTTTGAGGGGGGTGGGACTCCACCTTAGAGAAACAACAACAGCAACACAAACAAGAGTTTGGATTCAAGATGGAGGTTAAAGGGAAGAATGTGACCTCTTCTGACTGAGGTGTGACTGTATGTCTTTAATATTGAATTATTTACCTGAAAATGTGTTATATTGTCAATTTCTATATTGTGTTGCATCTCTTTTAAACAGCTTTATCTGACTTCTATCCAGTTAAAAACGGTATTGGATATGAAAACAGCTGTGGTTCTGCAGATGTGTCTTAGACAGGTGTTTGTTAGGCAGGTGGCCATCAGACAGGTATATGTCAGACAGGAAAGTGTTAAAAGTCAGAGATGGGCTCACCCTGACGAAGCTGGCAGGAAACCAGCCCTCCTCCTCGTCGATTTGACCCCACCACCAGTCCTTATTCGAGGCGTCCAACACCTTGATGACATCGCCAGCCTTGAAGGCCAGCTCCCGGTCAGCCATGGTCACATGGTCCCATACTGCCTCGGCATTCACTACAGAGCCCCCGCTGATCAACTACAGAAAGATAGATGGAGTAGACGCAGGATAAGCTACAGGAGGACAACAGTTACATAACATCAGAAACATTCTGGATTAACATCAAACAGTCACATCTCTGGAAACAAAACTGACAGGGGTGTTGAGATATAATGCTGTTTCTCGTTTGGATTTGTATCAACTGCTTTGGTTCGGTTTTGAAACGGGGCAGACGAGGTTGCTAGGATAAACAAACCCAAATTTTCTGCCTTTTTTTTTTTTAACTGAGACAAGTTGATAGACCTATTTAGTATTAACAGCAAAAAATTGAGGTTGATAGGATTGCTTAATGTTTTTGAAAGATGTATCTTATGCTTACCAAAGCTACATTTATTTAATCAGAAATACAGTAAAAACTGAAATATTAAGAAATATTTTGTACAATTTAAAAGAACTGTTTTCTATTTTAATGTACTTTAAAATGTAATTTATTCCTGTGATGGCAAAGCAGCATTTTCAGCAGAGCTACTCAGCATCACATGACCCTTCAGAAATCATTCTAACATGCTTTGGTGCTCAAGAACCATTTCTTATTATCCGTGATGAAAACAGTTGTGCTACTGTGTGTGGAAATCATAACACTTTTTTTACATTTTGTAACGAACAGAAAGATTAGAAGAACAGCATTTATTTGAAAGAGAAACTTTTGTAACATTATATAAATGTCTTTACTGTCACTTTTCAGTTTAATGTCCTTGCTGAACAAAAGTATTCATTTCTTAAAAAAAAAAAAAAAAAAAATCTTTCTGACCCCTAAACTTTTGAACAGTAGTGTATAATAAATTATTCTTTGCATTCACATTCATTCCATTGTTACAAAATGTTGCTTCTAGGCAACAAACATATTTATGCAAATCTTTTATACAAATAATTTATAAATAAAATATCTGAACTATATCAAACTCGTATTTAAACTATCCTATTATTGAATTATTAATATATAAAAAAATAAAAAAAATAAAAATATTTTTCTAACTGCTGTCAGGCGGTGAAGCCACCGGAAGTGTAAGAGTGGCTATCTTACTCCCTACCAACAGAGGGCATCACTGACTGACAGCAAAAACCTTGACCTAAAATCATTAGGGATGGGCGATACCCCTTATTTTGTTTTCGATACGATACCGATATTTTTCAAGGCAGTATCGTCGATATCGATACCGATTCGATACTTCTGCACTAAACTTTTAAATTATGAAATGTATTAAATTATTAAATTACTAAGAGCTTTATTCCCCCTTTAAAATAATTTTTTTTTTTTTTTTTTTTTTTTTTTGGAAAAGTGTGTGAAAAAATTTATTTTATGGTCAGTCACAATTGTAACCGGTGGGATAATGTGTATAATGAATTAACATATTTCTGCAGTCATACATTTTTTTAATATATCTTAGCCCAACTCGCGTCAGTATCGATATATCGATACTTCGGATCGATACGCCCATCCCTAAAAATCATCCGATTTGAAGCGTATCAGTCACACAGGATTAGTTTTAAAGATATGTGTATGTAAATTAATTTTGACTTCAGATTATCTGCAATGTTCATGGTCTTTTCGGACAGGATAAGTGATAGGCTATATTCAAACCGTTTAGGTGTGTCTGCTGCACACTACCGACACAGGTAACCGATTTAACATAAAATATATTTCTTTATATACGTAATTATGAAGGAAATATTAAACATGAATAAATATCTGGTATTAGTATCAGAAATTGATTCGAATATACAATAAATAATACAATACAACCCTCTGTTACTATATTGCTCTATGTTGTTTTGAAATTCAAATCTTGGAAATAAAGCTTCATGTTCTTTAAGTGTATACCGTATGTAGTCAGTGTTATTTCTCTCAATAAGTTGTGTACATTTTTAATGTCCTGATTAAGCAACATCTACGTATTTCAGACTTGCGCAAATTCTATTTCTCTTTACTATCATTACCGTTTCCATAGGAGTAAAATGTTATGTATAACGTTATATGTTGAATTAATAATTAATTTAACAAGCGTTTAAATCATTAGGCCTTACCAACGTTGTTGAAGAAATCATTATTGAAACATCTGCAGTTAGCCTACTGTATAATAAATACACTAAATACAACACAATTACATAAACAGTGAATAACTGTACAAGGCAAATTGAGAGGTATGCGTATACAAAGCATAAATCCTTATTCAGATTTCAAAATGAGCACTTTGTCATTTGTAATGCATATGTTGAGCATCTGATGTTCATCATGTTCATCGCTGATATTCACTACTGTCATGTATTAGAATGTAACTTTTTAATATGCAAGAGAAATTCCAGACATTAAACAAATAACCATTTACATGCTTAGGGCGTTTGCGTTGTAAAATTGAACAGTGACACTTAAGATATAAAAACGCTGACTTGTTTGGTGATGTTTTCTCATTAAAATTGTGTGATTTCCTATTAATTCAATAAAAATGTATGGGAATACTAGGGAATACCAATATGGCGGCATGGTGGCTTCACTTTTATAGATAATTTTAATAGATCAGTGGTTATAACAGACTGCTAGTTATTGACTACAGTTCCATTCAAACAGCACACCTCAACCAAATTGGCCAAAACATTCCATTGTGACTGTTAATTTAATGAAATATACAGAATGTGGCTGTCACCAAAGTCTCTTTTGAACCGGTTCCAAATCAGATCTGAAATTAACTGGATCTCACGGTTCCTTCGTGTTCATAATATAGGAAGGAAGTGGCAATGTACAAGGTCATAGAGCTATAGAGACACTGTGCTTGAGTAACCATGGCTTCCATGCTCGAGTAAAGACAAGATGTGTTATAGTAATACTTCCTGCTGACTTTCACATATACAAGCCCATGACAGTGACTTGAGATGATGGCTGGGTAATTCTCTACACAGAAACACTCATACATAATCAGCTCCAAGATTTCACCCCCACAACTCCAGGCTCTTTTCCTCTCTCTCTCTCTCTCTGTGTGTTTCGGAGGCAGCCAAGCTGTAAAAAATTCTCTTTTGCGCATTTAAAGAGAAAAAAAAATGTTATGTTGTCAGCAGAAACAGTAAAATCTGTTTGATTTGTATAAAGCAACTGCATTTGATACACATCACGGCAGTTGTTATCTCAGTGTCACAACACACTGTGGGTAAATGCGAAGAGTTCTCCGCTGATCTGATATCTAAACTCCATTACTGCTGTTCAAGTGTACAGGGCACTGAATTACTCAACACAAACACATGTACGTGTGTGTGTGTGTGATTACATACAGATATACACAGCCTTTAAGGGTTTGAATTATCGCTCCACCATCAATATTCCTTTTATCTACTGTACAGAATCTTCTTCAGAGGCGTTATGTATCTGTGTGTGTAAACACATTATTTGTGTCTTGTACATGTTTCTAATTGGATATGGTGACTGCATCTGTATTACTTGCTCGACAGCTTTGTGTACAGACCTTGAATGTTGATTCTTTCATTAGTAGTGGCGATCCTTCAAATACTCTTTCCTGTGAGTTACATTGTTACACCAGTAGGTGGCAACAAGTGAGCTATGAATCACTCAATTATTCATTTAACCTATTTATTCAAATGCTCCGATTCATGCAGGAAGGAAACAAATGGCTGTTTATGTACACTGATTGATTCACTCAATTCATCCAGCAACGAAACGGCATTACTGTGTTTCTTAGTGATGCTTTGCTCTTGTTAATTCTGCTGTCGTTTTTGAAACTATTTTAATTAGCAAAGCAAAAACTGACAAAATTACTGGCGACAGTGTCTAAAATGTAGGTTATTCGAAAAATAACTTCTTGTTCAATCTCTTTTACAGTATAAACGCAATATCACATTTGCTATTGTGCTGTTTTTGTAAATATCAAGAAGGCTGTGATGGCCTGAGACACTCTTGCTTGTGTGATATTGCTTCATTAATATATTTATAATATGTTTTATTAATAATTATAGACTCTAAAAATGCTGGGTTAAAAACAACCATTTATGGGTTATTTGGCAACCTAGCACTGGGTAATTATTGGACAGAACACATGCTGGGTTATTTATATATTGACCCATTTGCTGGGTCGTTTTTTTTGACAGTGCTGGGTCAGTCAACCTTTTGAAGGTTTTTTTTCATTTTAAATAATAAAAATGCATTCTAAAATCTGTTTTATACAGGACAAGAACAGCTCACATGCAATATTTTTTTTTTTTATTCAATGTCAAGTCGGTCTTTTACAATCATAAAATCTTCAAAAACATTCAGTAAAGGTTTTCGAACATGACAGGAGCAGTGGGAAGAAAACTGCTATCAGTAGGCTGTTCCAGTTCATTAAGTAACTTATAATCATGACTTATCTTATAGTCGTGTTTGAAAAGTTACATCAAAAACAGCTTTACCTCGTGCCATCTTGTCTGTCAGACACTTAAGTTTAAACCTGTCAAATGCATAGCACGACCACAGCTGTAACAACATTAGATCAATAGTGTTCCCATTGTAATCTGTGGAGCGCATGGAAACTTTGTTACAAATAACAGTGAAGTCGTGTCGTGTTTGAGCCCTGGTCGCGCATTCGTTTAGCGGGAGGTGAAACTTCCACGGTGGCGCCGGTGCCTCGTATGCTTTGAGTGCAGATCCGGTGATGAATGCTGCGTTTGTGGAAGGCTAGCCTTCCAAGCAGATGTTAGCTGCGACTTACATTTAAACAAAAAAGGAAAAATGTGAGATTACAGATGTTTTCCTATTTATACAGTAATAATTTGATAGGAATACAATGTCATACAAACTACCCAGTACCTGGGTAAATTTTTTTTTTTAAATAACCCAATAATTGACCCAACAGGCTGAACCCAGCATTTGGGTTAAAAAAAAAATAACCCAGCATTTTTTTTTTAGAGTGTACTACTTATTATAAGTTCACAGTTCGGTTTGTTGTTTGTACCATGATTCAACTCATAAAAACAAAGGAATCCATGAAGTTCATTTA